GACCCTTATCCGCTTATCCCGGATTCCGGTATTCTCGCAGATAACCTCGGCCTAACCGAGATCATCTCGACATCATGAGCAGAACACGTAGCACCTCGGCTAGCACTTCAGTGACACCTCGGCCACGTATTGTCATTCAAAAATTATGTCCCCACAAACAGGAATTGTTGTTAAAAATGTATGGATGGAGACTCAATTTTAGGATGTGATATTTGGCATTTAAATCTTGCAGAAAAATCAAAAGTAATGTTTGTGGCATATATATTTTATTTGGCATTCTAAATTTTATGAAAAATTATTTCTCATGGCTTCATATGCAACCAAGAGCTCACATCAAAAGCAATATTCTTTTACTAGAGAATCTCTAACGGTATAATATTTAAGTGTAGTAAAATAATATATATATACACACACACACTAGTGTAGTATATGTTACATTAAAAATAACATTGTGTTGTTTGATCAACAAACATTTTTGGTAAAAAATATATCTATGTCATTATAATTAAAATTTAATTAGTTGTTACTTACACCTATGTCATGTGAAGATAAATCAAGGGAGAAATAATTGGTTATAAATATATTGTGATAAATTAAATATAAAAATAAAATTTATATCTATGTAATTGATCACAAGTAGTTTGGAATCAAAATTGACGTAATGATCTAAGATCACTGAATAATTACTTTAGATACATGATTAACACCTAAATCAAAATCTAATTGAATGCATGATATCAAATTTTATATTGGGCCTGTTTGGTGTAACTTCTTAGACCATCTCCAACCATTCACCAAATCCATCATCAAATTTAAATTTGGTGAAAAATAGGTACTTTTTGTGCTCCAACGGTTGTACCAAAACGGTATCAAAATGAGAAAATATCAAATCTTTCACCAAACTAATGATGGCTCGCCCCTTTCACCAATTTACTGTGTGTAGCCGTTGAGTTGAACCCACGGGATGACCGGCCGGATGTCCCTTCAGATGACCGCTTTAAGACAAAAAATTGTGAAAATTTACACTGACAGGTCGAGCACCTCAACATCTTTCTTACTCCATTTCCATTTTTCCCTGAATCCATTTCCATCCTGTTCTCTTTCTCAATTCGTATCTCTAATCCACACTATACCTCCAATTCCAATTCCATGAGTATAGGTTTGATCAGTTTATTATCATCTGCTGCAGAAAGAATCTTGGAGGACAGTATTGATTTTGGCTTATCAAAGCCTTGGAGTTGTCTATGGAGATTTGAGCATATCTCCACTTTATGTATACAAAATTACTTTTGCTGAAAACATTACACACTCAGAGACCAATGAAGAGATTTTTGGGGTTTTATCTTTTGTGTTTTGGACACTAACTTTAGTTCCTTTTCTTAAATATGTGTTCATTATGCTCAGAGCCGATGATAATGGCGAAGGGGGCACATTTGCTTTATACTGCTCCAACCACTTTTGGGTCAAGTTTGAAATCTACACTAGAGAGGCATAGAGTGTTTCAAAAATGTTTGCTTGTATTGGCTTTGATTGGGGCTTGTATGGTGATCGGCGATGGCGTCCTCATGCCTGCAATATCTGGTATATTTATAATTTTAATCTTATGCATCTTAATTGAATTTGGGCTTGTAGTTTGTTCATATATGATTGATTTGATTGTTGTGGCCAAATATATATCTGGTATACCTCCTTCCTCCATCCCCATGTGATATTATTATTATTTACAGATGAAGGAAAAGGATGAAGAAAGGGAACAGACGACAACAAAAATGAAGGCAAAAAAAAAAATTGCTCTTGCTGGTCGACCTGCCAGTTGACCCCCGGGATGTCCTATGGTTTGATGAAAGCTCCATTGGAGCGTTTAATATCAAATAGAGGAATTGGTGATATTTTTACTCAGATTTGATAAAATGTTTGGTGAACCATTGGATATGCTCTTACTAGCTAAAAAATAATGATAAAAAGTAGAAGTTAAAATAATATTCATTTCCCAGTTTTTCAAAAATAACTTTTTTCATTTTCTTTAAATTATTTTCTCTTCATAAGTTATGAGTAGAAGTCATACTAAACGCTATGACACATATACCTAAAAAAAATTATAAACAGTTCTATAAGCTGCAGTTGATAATTATAAACAATCCTATAAGCTGCAGTCAATAGACCATTATGTTCCATACTAGAATAATTCAACCCTTTTGCCCATTTTACAAATTGTATAACGCCCCGAAATTTATAACAATAATCCACATCATAATATTTCATAGCATTGATCAATAACATCATAATTAATGGGAAGGAGATTCATAATCTGGCTTTGGGCTATGATAGAAGCCGGGCAGAATGAGGGCCGAGCTAGTTTGGGCTGAGCTAACTTGGGCTTGTCCAGAGTTGGTTTGCTCGGTCGAGTCCCAGGTCCCATGTTTGGGCCGAGCTAACTTGGGCCGAGATGATCGCCTGCCAACCCGGGTTTCTTGGTTCGCACATTCAGCTCAGCGGGAAAGGTCTTCTAAATACCGGCTTAATCTGTCTAGAGCTCAGTCGTACCAAAATGCTACTGAGCTCGGTTGTGATGGAGCTCGGCGAGTGGCGCCGTTGGACTCGTTACCTAGCACGATCATATGAGGCCGAGGTGATGCTGCCGGGCTGCCCGTTCCCGCTAATGTTGTCTGGCGGTTTGATTAGGTGGTGTTTAGCTGGATTTGAGCTAACGGATGAGAGAGCAACCCCACGTGTCAATAGACGAGTGGGTGCAGAGGTGAACGCAGAAAGTATATAAGCATGACTGCGCCCCTCATGCTGCGGATGGAACATCATTTGGTGAGAGAAACTTAACATTCATTCAGCTCTTCTCTCTCTCTCTCTCTCCGAGTGTGTGCTAACTAGACCGTCAAAGGGGTTTTCTAGCAACACCTCGCTGGGTAGCTCACCACCGTTGTGTTTTCAGGTTGATCGGATAGACACGGAGCTTGGACGAAAGGAGTACGGACAGCGACGAATATCTCATTCCCGTACAGTTGGCGCTGTCTGTGGGAACCTTTAGCAAACACAACCTTGTCCTCCAAGCTCATTTGATCGCCTTCCATGGCGAACAATGATGAAATACCGTTGCCTACCATTGACGGTGTTACCTCGGAGTCAGCCAGACGGAGATATGGACTCCCCGCCGTTCCGAACATGGCGGACTTGGAGACTTCCCCAAGAGAACTTCCAAGAGATGCACGAGATAAGCATGCCAGATGTTTTGGTCACTCACGGAGCCCAGACGGACACCGGCGGCAAAGAGAATCGCATGTTAGACGTCTGGAGCACAAGTTAAGAGACCAAGACACCGTCATCCGGAGAATGGCGGCAAAGATGGAAGCTCTCAAATGGCATGTCAAAGGGAAGGGTGTTGCTGGAGTGGGAGACCACAATGAGCGTACCCAACCATGCCGTTCATGCAGCCAAGGCCAGCGGCACACCCCCTCCCTTTCTATCACCAGAAGCTATAAGGTTGGAGAGTCAAACACACCTATAGAGAAGTCTAGCGCGCAAGATAGTACCTGTCATCCCTCGCGTCCGGCGACGACGTCGAGATATTCCTACTCCGTTCGTTCAGAGGACTTGCGGGTTGTCTTGAAGCAACGGGCTCGCTGACGAGAGACTCAAAAGGTGCCGGCGCTCTACCAGCTATCTTACGGGGGTCACGCCAGTGAGGAGGTCATAATGCCACCGCTCCACTCAGTCGTGCATGTCCCTCTGGACACAGATTTGGCAAGGCTGAACGCCACCCCCTTCTCCCTTGAGATAGAAACCACACCGCTCCCAGCGGGCTTTCATCAACCAAAGTTTACACTTTATGACAGAAAAACCAATCCGTGCATGCATGTAAGCCACTTCCGACAGGTCATGGCCAGACACAAGCGTAATGACGCTCTCATGTGCCTTATTTTCCCATCGAGTTTGGGCTAGTTGGGCTTGAATTGGTTTGAGAGGCTGCTGAAGGAAAGCATCAAAAGGTGGCAGCAGTTGGCGGAAGCATTCGTGACTCGTTTCAAAACCAACACCAAAACGCCAAAGGAAGTGGACCACCTTCTCAGTGTCAAGATGGAGTCGAGTGACACCCTCAAGGCATACAACTCCAGGTACTGGAAAACCTTTAACGAGATCTTAGATTGCCCGATCAACCTGGCAATCACCCAATATAAGCACGGTCTCCCGGTCGGACATAGGTTGAGGGACTCGCTTACAATGAACCAGCCGACGTCCATGGGGCAACTAATGCAACGCATCAATGAGCACATCCGAGTAGAGGATGATGTGGTGGCGTCCACCGCGAAGACAAATTCGGTCACAACAGACAAAAGGGCGGCTGGCTAGGTGCACGTGGTCGGACGGGAGACTAACTGTCCAAATGATCGCGCCGGGGAATCTGGACGTGGACCAAATCATAGAAACCGGGGTAAAGGTCGCCGCAATGGCCAAGCAGAATATCCCTGCGATGACGCAGCTAATGCTAACAAAAGGTTGAACACTCGGACGGGCATCACCACGGTATTTAAGATTCCAATCTATCGCATACTTAGTGAAATTCACGACGAGGATTACGTCTGGTTTCCTGCTAAGTTAGGCGATGCTCAAAAAGGCTTCAATCCGCGGTACCGCTGCACATATCATAGGGAGCGAGGACACCAGACAGAGGACTGTTTACCTTTGAAGCAACACTTGGAGGAGTTAGTCGCAGCCGATCACTTCGACCTTTACATTGATGGGGGCGTTAGAGTCGCGCATCCCACCCCGGCTGATCCGAGTGGTTCAGATGACTTAGAGATGCCCCTTCAAGGAGTGGTCAATGTGATGCACGGCATAGTGGAGCCAGTGCATGTATGCGAGCTCCGAGGAATGATAAAAAAGACAGAACATATGAGGGAGGCTTTGTCAGTCCAGCCCGTGATCAAAAGGGGGAAGACCGAGGAGAAAGATGTGATTAGTTTCCCAACTAGGGACCTAAAGCGCATTCAATGCCGCACAACGACGCCCTAGTAGTCACCCTCCGCGTCAGAGACTTCGATGTCAAGTGCATCTTGATTGACCAAGGAAGCTCGATTGAGATTATGTACTATGACGCGTTCAAGCAACTCAAACTCCGGGATACAGACTTGGCTCCGTCAACTTCGCCACTAGTTGGTTTCAACTCACAACCGGAGTGGCCTCTGGGAAAGATAATCTTACCAGTTAAAGCCGGATCCGTGGTCAAGCAGGTGGAGTTCTGGGTATTGAAGGTGTTGTCCACATATAACCTGATCTTAGGTAGGAGATGGCTTCATGCTATAAAGGCAGTAGCGTTAACCTACCACCAAGTTATGAGGTTCCCCTCGGCTATGGAGGAAGTTGAGGAAATTTGGGGCGATCAAGTCATGTCGAAGCAATGTTTCGTGGCAGTGAATGGGAGTCGAGCTACCAAAGGCTTCGTGCAAATGATTGAAGGTCCGGAAGACCAGAGTGTCCTTGATTATGTGGGTGCCAAGGCCAAGGACCAGGCTGTTGAAGAGTTGATGGAAGTGCGGATCGACGCCAAAAGTCCAAACAAGTTCTTTTTGCTAAGGTCAAGCCTGACCGCCCAAGAAAGGACCGAGATGGTAGAGTTCTTGATGGTGAATATTGAAGTCTTTGCATGGACGTCGTACGACATGCCTGGCGTTGATCCAAGCTTTATTTGCCACCAACTCAATGTTTTCCCGGATGCACGCCCTGTCATTCAAAGAACGAGGAGATCGGCTCTTCATCACGCCAAGGTAATCACGAAGGAAGTGAGGAACCTGCTAGAAGCAAGGGTTATCCAGGAAGTGCACTACCCTTGGTGGGTTTCAAACACAGTCGTAGTGCCCAAGAAAAATGAGAAGTGGCGAGTTTGCGTTGATTACAAGACTGTCAACTGAGCTTGCCCTAAAGACAGCTTTCCTCTGCCCAGAATAGACCAGCTGGTGGATCTTACGGCCGGGCATAACAGGCTCGGTTTCTTGGATGCCTATCGTGGTTATCACCAGATCGCCATGCATGGTCCCGATCGCGAGATAACCTCTTTCACCACCCCAAGGGGACTATTCTGCTATCGAGTCATGCCTTTTGGTTTAAAGAATGCCGGCGCGACTTTCCAAAGGATGGTGACCAAAATGATCGCTCCTCTGCTAGGCCGGACGATGAAGGCTTACATCGATGACATGGTGGTCAAAAGCAGGCATCAGGCTGACCACTTATTCGACCAAGCCGAGATGTTCGCCATTCTTAAACAGCATAAGCTATGCCTAAATGCGTCAAAGTGTGCCATCAGCGTGGGATCTGGGAAATTCCTAGGCTTCCTAGTCACAAATTGAGGCATCGAGGCGGACCCCACACAAACCAAAGCCATACAAGAATTGAAGCAGCCCAACTCGGCAAAGGACGTGCAGCATCTGGCCAGTATGGCCGCCTCGCTTAACCGATTCATAAGCCGGTCATCAGATCGCTGCTGCCCTTTCTTTCGAGCCTAGAAGTCCAAGTTTTCATGGGATGAGGAATATGACAGGGCGTTGGCCGAGCTCAAGGCATATTTGTCTTCTGCCTCATTATTGGTGACACCCAAGCCCAACGAAGAACTCTACCTTTATCTGGCAGTTTCTCAGCATGCAGTTAGCGCGGTGCTTGTCCGGTCAGACGGTATCTAGCATTTCCCTATCTTTTACGTGAGAAAAACCTTGTTACCGGCAGAGTCGACGTATTTATCGTTGGAAAAACTTGTTTTGGCATTGATGATGGCCTCCAGGAAATTGGCGCACTACTTTCATGCTCACACAATCGTCGTGTTGACCGAATTCCCCCTCAAAGCCTTGTTCGAGCGGGCCGATTTCTCTGATCGAATCCTGAAGTGGGCGGTCGAATTGGGACAATTTGACGTCAAGTTTCAACCCCGAATGGCCATAAAAGCACAAGCATTGACAGATTTTGTTACTGAATTCTCGCCTGGAATTCACCAAGTATGCCCGGTGGATCTCCGCGGTAGCCGAGGTGGCGAATGAAGGCTCAACGGAAATTGCACAACAGGGCGATGTTGGCGACGCGAAACTTGCGCGCCCGTCCATAAAACCTCCAGTCGGAATAGTACTGCAGCATGGCAATGCGATGACGGACTTGGGAATAACAAACCACAACTCCACTCTGGCTTACCCGCAGTCCAACGGCCAAGCCGAAGCGTCAAACAAGACCATTCTCGTTGGGTTGAAGAAAAGATTAGAGAAAGCCAAAAGAAAATGGACCGAGGAACTCTCAAGTGTCCTTTGGGCATATCAGACGACCCCAAGGCGATCCACCGGGGAAACTCCTTTTGCCCTGGCATACAGCATGGAGGCGGTCATCCCATTGGAGATCGGCATGCCCACCATCCGCAATGAAAATTTTGCGCCCGAGTTGAACTCTGAAGCAGTCGCCCTGGAATTGGACCTAGTTGACGAGCACCGAGAAAAAGCTTTGATCCACGTAGCCGCTTACCAACAAGAATTGTCTAGGAAATACAACAAAACAGTGCACCCCAGACCGTTTAAAGTGGGCGACTGGGTTTTAAGGAAGGTCATGGGCAACACGCTGGTGCCGGGGGAAGGCAAGCTAGGGGCAAACTAGGAAGGGCCTTACAGGATAACCGGTCTGGCGGGCAAGGGGGCATACCACTTAGAAGATTTGGATGGCAAAGGCGTACCCCGGCCATGGAATGCGGTTAACCTCAAACTGTACTATTTTTAGTTTTCATAGTTTTTATGTGATTCTTTTGAGGAAGGACCTATTTGCCTTACACTTTTGAATGTAATACTCTTTTTGTCAATATAATAGAAGTGACTTATCTTCGCTAAAGCATTCTGTTGTTTTCGATGCTTCCTTTGAGGTGTTAACCGAGATGTTTTATTCCGGTTAAACGAGTTGATGATTTACTCAACTGTGTTTAAAACCGAGATGTTTTATTCCGGTTCAGAGAGTTGATGATTTACTCAACTTTGTAATTTCAACCGAGATGTTTCCGATTGAATGAGTTGATGATTTACTCAACTTTGAGACTTCAACCGAGATGTTTTATTCCGGTTCAATGAGTTGATGGTTTACTCAACTGTGTTTAAAACTGAGATGTTTTACTCCGGTTGAATAAGTTGATGATTTGCTCAACTTTGAGATTCCAACCGAGATGTTTTACTCTGGTTGAATGAGTTGATGATTTACTCAACTTTGAGACTTCAACCGAGACGTTTTACTCCGGTTCAATGAGTTAATGGTTTACTCAACTGTGTTTAAAACTGAGATGTTTTACTCCGATTGAATAAGTTGATGATTTGCTGATTCATGCCGAACTTCTCCCAAACTAGTTTTCTCCTCTCCTTTCCTCTTTTCTTCAACTCCAAAACCCTAAACAAAGTGTTTTGAAAGATTTTCCTCTCTTCTAGCCGAAGAAACTGATTCTTTGCCCTGCACATCTCTCAACACCGAGCAAACCATCAGTAGTGCCCAAGTCTTAAGGGGGTCAAAAATGGGGTGTCTACACTAGGCCGGACGATGAAGGCTTACATCGATGACATGGTGGTCAAAAGCAGGCATCAGGCTGACCACTTATTCGACCAAGCCGAGATGTTCGCCATTCTTAAACAGCACAAGCTATGCCTAAATGCGTCAAAGTGTGCCATCAGCGTGGGATCTGGGAAATTCCTGGGCTTCCTAGTCACAAACTGAGGCATCGAGGCGGACCCCACACAAACCAAAGCCATACAAGAATTGAAGCAGCCCAACTCGGCAATGGACGTGCAGCATCTGGCCAGTATGGCCGCCTCGCTTAACCGATTCATAAGCCGGTCATCAGATCGCTGCCGCCCTTTCTTTCGAGCCTAGAAGTCCAAGTTTTCATGGGATGAGGAATATGACAGGGCGTTGGCCGAGCTCAAGGCATATTTGTCTTCTGTCTCATTATTGGTGACACCCAAGCCCAGCGAAGAACTCTACCTTTATCTGGCAGTTTCTCAGCATGCAGTTAGCATGGTGCTTGTCCGGTCAGAAGGTATCTAGCATTTCCCTATCTTTTACGTGAGAAAAACCTTGTTACCGGCAGATTCGACGTATTTATCGTTGGAAAAACTTATTTTGGCATTGATGATGGCCTCCAGGAAATTGGCGCACTACTTTCATGCTCACACAATCGTCGTGTTGACCGAATTCCCCCTCAAAGCCTTGTTCGAGCGGGCCGATTTCTCCGATCGAATCCTGAAGTGGGCGGTCGAATTGGGACAATTTGACGTCAAGTTTCAACCCCGAATGGCTATAAAAGCACAAGCATTGACAGATTTTGTTACTGAATTCTCGCCTGGAATTCACCAAGTATGCCCGGTGGATCTCCGCGGTAGCCGAGGTGGCGAATGAAGGCTCAACGGAAATTGCACAACAGGGCGATGTTGGCGACGCGAAACTTGCGCGCCCGTCCATAAAACCTCCAGTCGGAATAGTACTGCAGCATGGCAATGCGATGACGGACTTGGGAATAACAAACCACAACTCCACTCTGGCTTACCCGCAGTCCAACGGCCAAGCCGAAGCGTCAAACAAGACCATTCTCGTTGGGTTGAAGAAAAGATTAGAGAAAGCCAAAAGAAAATGGGCCGAGGAACTCTCAAGTGTCCTTTGGGCATATCAGACGACCCCAAGGCGATCCACCGGGGAAACTCCTTTTGCCCTAGCATACAGCATGGAGGCGGTCATCCCATTGGAGATCGGCATGCCCACCATCCGCAATGAAAATTTTGTGCCCGAGTTGAACTCTGAAGCAGTCGCCCTGGAATTGGACCTAGTTGACGAGCACCGAGAAAAAGCTTTGATCCACGTAGCCGCTTACCAACAAGAATTGTCTAGGAAATACAACAAAACAGTGCACCCCAGACCGTTTAAAGTGGGCGACTGGGTTTTAAGGAAGGTCATGGGCAACACGCTGGTGCCGGGGGAAGGCAAGCTAGGGGCAAACTAGGAAGGGCCTTACAGGATAACCAGTCTGGCGGGCAAGGGGGCATACCACTTAGAAGATTTGGATGGCAAAGGCGTACCCCGGCCATGGAATGCGGCTAACCTCAAACTGTACTATTTTTAGTATTCGTCGTTTTTATGTAATTTTTTGTGGAAGAACTTGTTTTCCCTGCTACACTTCTGAATGTAATATTCTTTTTGCCAATGTAATGAAAGTGAATTATCTTTGCTGAAAAGGTTTGTTGTGTTCCAAGTAATGTAGTGACTGAGGGGCATACTCTTGTGTTTTAGCCGAGATGACCTAACCCGGCTAAAAAGAGTTGGTGATTTGCCTAACCTAGAAATCTTAGCTGAGATGCTTTAGCCAGGCTAAAGGAGTTGGTGATTTGCCCAACTCAGAAATCTTAGCCGAGATGCTTTACCCCGGCTAAAGGAGTTAGTGATTTGCCCAACTCAGAAATCTTAGCCGAGATGTATTACCCCGACTAAAGGAGTTGGTGATTTGCCCAACTCAGAAATCTTAGCCAAGATGCATTACCCCTGCCTAACTCAAAAATCTTAGCCGAGATGCTTTACCTCGGCTAAAGAAGTTGGTGATTTGCCCAACTCAGAAATCTTAGCTGAGATGTCTTACCCCGACTAAAGGAGTTGGTGATTTGCCCAACTCAGGAATCTTAGCCGAGATGCCTTACCCCGGCTAAAGGAGTTAGTGATTTGCCCAACTCTGAGGTTTCAGCCGAGATGATGAGATGATGTACCCTGGCAAAATGAGTTAATGATTTGCTCAACTCTAAAGTTTTAGGCTTTAGCCGAGATGCTTTACCCCTGCTAGAGCAGTTGCTCAACTTTTGTGTTTTAGCCGAGAAAATTTATTCCAGCTAAAAGAGTTGATGTTTTGCTAAACTCAGGGTTTTAACCG